CATTTTGCAACGGGCTTTGAATTTTGACCTGGTCAGAACAACACACTTTCACCTAGTACGTGATATATATACGTGTTGCATCTTAGTAAAGGGTTAACGTACTATATTATCTATGATCCCATCATGAAAAGAAAATATATGTAAATTTGTTGGAAAGAGTTCAAAACAACCTTCAAATTTATTGTAGATCAATTGATTTTTTTGCATGATTGGATATGATTTCAAGCACAATGTTGTAATGGTAACCCATACTGTACCATTTAGGCACTTTTTTTACAGACACTGCAAGTAGATCCCATACATCATTCTGCCCGGTATTCTTAGAGTTAAATTCTTTTATATTTCCTCTTTTGATTATGTGGCGCCTGTTTTTTTTGCATCGTTTCAAATATGTTAGAGCGTACCATTGTGCGTGTGTACGTGTACACTCCATGACCTGATCATGGCCTCTGTGTTATTCAATTTGTAACAAATAGAATCACGATATAAAAGATACTTCATGGCATATATTATCTTCATAACTAGCCGAGCAAAGTATTGAATTCTAACAGATCGAGAGAAAAACAAATCGTTATTAAGTGGAGTAGAATGAAATGTATAGAGGACTGAACAAACACCGGATGGTTTTACATTCTATATGCTCAACCAAAGGCATAGATAACATCACAATTATGAATATTTGAGCGATAAAAAGCTGAACTTGTAAAAGAGATTTTACAATGTCTGGCTAAGGTAGGATAAGGATAACATTTCTGGCTTTCTATCCAGCGTGACCCCGTTCAAGAATTAAAAAAAAAATTGGAACAGATTATAGCCAGTATGATTTAGACATGACATTAAACGTATTTTTGAGTTTTGTTGCAGATGGCGTTCACAAAATTATTTGTTGTGAAATAATGAAACACTGAGTGACAAATTTGAAAGAATATACAAATTAAATGACAAAATCATCTTTGTTTGATCAAAATCGGTTCAGAAACAGCTGAAATATCCATAAATATAACCATTTAGTAATATTTGTGGTGCCCCACAAATATTCGGTAATTTTGAACCAGCCGTTAAAAAACGAGATAGCGCCTTATGCGTTTTATTCCAGCCTATGCTAATATTGGATTTTTGTTGGCTTTTTCGTGTTGGGTATAACAAGCACAACCAGCCGGCCCGAGTATCGATATCATTAATTAATTAATTAATTAATTAACGGTTGCTGTATTTTGTTTAAGTGCAGCTGAATTGGTATGATCGTATTTAATCTAAATGCACACATTTTGGGGTATAAAATTAACTTTAGGGCACTAGAAATGTCATAAATACGAATAGGAGCGCTAACGATGCACTTTGAAGGCATTTGCGGTCTTAATCAAGAACTCCATTATCCCTTTAACGTTTGACAGTAGCCAAGATAAAGGTTATCATATCATAGGTCTATTTTCTCAATCAATTTCAACAACGATTAATGACTACCCATACGTGTGTGTGTGCGTGAGTGTATGTGTGTGCGTGCGCGCGCGTGTGTGTTTCTTGTTTGTATTACACATTTGGAGGGATAAAAAAAATTACTTTAAAAAATTAATAAAGTGTGTGTGCGTGTGTGCGTGTTGAGTGTGTGTATGTCGCATGGTAGGGGGTAGTAGTGTGTTTGGTTGGTGTGTGTGTTTGTGTAAGAGAGAGAGAAAGAGAGAACGGGAGAGAGAGAGAGAATTGATATCCAACGAAATAAGCGATAGGGGCAGCGCAAATTTCAAGGGATAGATTAGACTTTCTAACGCTCAAGAACAGCGCTCCCTTTAACCCCGGCATGGCTCTACCACTGCAACAGCAAGGGACCCTAAGGCAGGCCCCTGTACCCCCATTCGTTAAGATGGAAGTGATTCCCAAGACAACGCTTTGCTGTAAAAAAAAAAAAATGAGGGGAGAATGTGTGTTTCTATCACTCAGCCTGCTATCTTGAAGGTTCTAAAAATCTAAAACTCGAGAGGGTCCGGGGGCATCACCCCAAGGAACACCGACAGGGGCCTTATGTTTAGCCCCTGGACCCCACCCGGAAAGTACAAAAGGTTTGCATATAATTAGTATACAGATCTATAGAAAGAGAAATGTGACATATCACCCCATGGTCATAGTAATAATGGTTTGGGTCGATTTTTGCAACTGTTGTAGAGGAATTATAATATTGTAGATATAAGGTTATGAAGAAAAGAAGTGATAAATTGGCACTTTCAGAAGGTATGAATGCGTCCCTCTCAAAGTTATTAACTTAAAAATGTATGCACAAGATTTTGCAGGCATCAGCCGTGTTCACATAGTGGCAATTTTGGTCAGCGTAAAGGTCGTGTTTAGAGCTAGTCGGCGTAAGTTTGGTTTGGTCGGCGTAAAAAGTGACCGTCTGAACAATACTCGTGTTAGCTACGCCGACTTTAGTACGCCGACTGATTTACTCCTGGATATTTCCCAGGAGTAACGCATTAACACGAGTAGAGGGTAGCGTAAGTTGATCGTGTGGATGCTCTCACTTGACACTTGGAGTATCTGTGACCTTTCACACGGTGAATGAAATAATTTGTAACTAGGCACTTTCGACGATTTATTAATTAAATTTGATAATATTACGAAAATGGTCTATAGAGTACCGAAGTGTTAACGTAATATCCGCTCGTCGTCCAGGTTACTTGTTCCAAACAACAGAGCCTGTATATGAGGTTCACTGCGAAACCATTCAAGTAACGGGCTGGAGCAGGGCCCCGTAGGTCGCAGTCAAATATAAATACTGTAATAATAATAATACATTACATTTATATAGCGCTTATTGCAATATTTCTAAGCGCTTTACAAAGTTGTGCTTAGATAATAATACATTCAATAACTATAATTAATGTATACTTATCAACCTACAATTAATTCAAAATACATACATAAGCACAGATACATCTAGTCAATACATATAGATACAATAAAATACAATTAATTTGAGGGCGAAACATTACAAATTCAAATTAAAGCAATTACATTACATCTACCGTGCAAAACACATTAAAGCTACAGACTAACAGGGAGGATTAACAGGGAGAATTAAAAAGGAATGTCTTAAGAGAGGATTTAAAAGAATCTAACGAAGGAGCTTCCCGAATCTCTAGAGGAAGTCTGTTCCAGAGCATCGGAGCAGCTACGCTGAAGGCACGGTCTCCACATCGTATTCGAGTTCTTGGACCCGGGGCCAGTTGCAGATGAGCATAGGTGGATGAACGAAGTCTTATAGAGGTTGTCTGGGTCATTGGTGAGATTAGTTCTGTGATGTAAATTGGAGCAAGTTCTTGTTGGGCTTTGTAAGTTAGGATCAGGATTTTGAAGGTAATGCGTTGAGAGACGGGAAGCCAGTGAAGAGAGCGAAGGACAAGGGTAATGTTATCGTATTTTCTGGAACGGGTTATTAAACGAGCTGCAGCATTCTGAATTCGTTGAAGAGGTAGAACATGAAGAGTCTGGTAAGCCGTAAAATAAACTGTTACGTAGTCAAGGTGTGATGACACGAATGCGTGGACTAATCGTTCAGTTGCGCTGGCCGCCAGGTACATGTACTTTCTTATTTTACCTATCTTGGAGATTCCAAAAGCTGCTGCTCGAGACTTCGAACGTATGTGGTCAGCCATGGTGAGATTCTTATCAAGAATAACACCGAGATGCCTAGAGGCCTAAAGGCCTGAACACATTCGATAGACGTTCCATCGCCAACCTGCAGTACAGGTAGAATCCGAGCACCTCTGAACCTGGAGAATACATGGATGACCTCAGTCTTAGAGTCATTGAGTTGAAGATTGTTCTGTAGTGACCATTCCTTAACATCTGCTATACACTGCTGTAGCTTTTGAAGTCCGACGTCATGTTCCTCGGGTCTGACTGTAAGCATGCATGACCAAGAAAACGTATATAAAGGGGTGTGTGCCATCGCATTAAGGGGTTAAAAAACGTCAATTTTGGGACATTTTCAAGAAAAAGGGTACTTTTTCTAGCTTTCAGGGCTAGACCGGGGGAGGGGTAAAAATTCGCAAGTGGTAGCTTATCTATCTAGTTTGAAACGATCTTAAGATCTTCAGTAGGTCGAGATGGATGCCAACGGTAGTGACGGTACCGACCCAGAACTACCAACCATTACGCCTATAACTGGTCCTATATATTTTGTTTTGTATAGTAGAATAGTAATTGTTTACTGTACATCGTGTACTTTATATAAGATAGATCGAATTTGAAATGTAATTCTTTTTTTTTTCAAAGAAAGGACTTAATAATGATGTCTCATGGCTGTGCATTAATTAAACCCATTTGAAAGAGTACAGGTTGATGTTATTGCTTTTCTATTGAACTAAATTTTAATATTGTGAATTATCCGTCAAAATTTAATCGCACTTCAAAATACTCAGGGTTTACAATTTTACAATACTTGTTTAGGAGAACACTTTCATAAAATACCTGTTTAGCCGGGGTGTGAATTCGGGGAAAAACCACGCGAAACCCTCATTAAATTTTAGGGTGTATTTTGGCTTTAGAAGAGATCCCCGTTTACTTTAGGGGGTGTGTGTGCAACCTGAGGTCTCGCAAGCTTACAGTAGGGCGAAGGGGCGGATCTAGCTTTTTGCCAAGGGAGGGGCCGGTTTGACCCCCAAAAAATTCCCAAGATCGCGCCGTTTTACTTTTTTTCTTCTTTCACTTGGCCGCTCAAAGGGGGGGGGGGGTTAAACCGTCGAAACACGTCCCCCCCCCCGCCACCCCCCCCCCCCCCTAGATCCGCCCCTGGGGCGAATTCAGTGGTTTGTGCTGGTGTGATCAACAAGCCATTGTTTAGCACAAAATTGTCGCGGTTAGCCTCAATCACGTACAGGCTCTCAAGGTTGTTTGAAACCAGTAGCCGAGACGATGAGCGAATGTGACGTTAGCACTTCGGTGCTATATTGTTTAGCTTTGCACAATCACAAAACAAATTAAATTAACAAACTCTAACAACAAGATTTAGTCTAAGAAATTTAATTTTAATCATCAGCATATAAAAACACACTATTAGCAAATCAAGTACATGTTTTACAGCTTCGGATAATAATATATTATAATGAACTATTTGCTTTGTTTAGATTTATCTCCTGCACATAAAGTAATATTTAGCATTATAGTATCAGCATAATCTAAATATATGTTAAAGATAATCAAACTTGGGTATATAGAGGGCAGCACACGGACATCGCCATAATCTCCCGAAGGAAACTCAGTGTGGACATCGAGGCGGTTTCGGAGAACCGCGCGTAATACCATAATAATCATACATAATGCAGTCATATAGGAAGTCTGCATGAACAGTGTACGTACGGTGCATACGTACAAAGCGTGCTCGCTAAACGTGATCTAACAATGCTAGGACACTGGCCATGATATGCCTACATAATATGTTCTTCGAATTCCCATCAATTTGCATCAAATATCAAATAAAACTTGCAAGATAAAATTGTAAAGAAATTCATGTTACAGATCTATAATAATGTGCATTAATAAGATGTATTTAATTAATCACATATCAATAAATTTTAGATTTTAAAACTTAATTACAAACAGTCAATCGAACCTCGGGATAAATCGGGCGCGCACGACTAGACTCGGTCGTTCGTGGGGTAGGCAAGTTGGCGATCACTACATAACACTGAGCCAACGGGTATTACGCTCCCGTGCGTAAAAAATCCGCAAGATAGTATAGGTATCGCACGTCAGTGTGCTGCCCTCTATATACCCAAGCTTGAGCAACTTTTATGAAGCAACGTGGGTTTTGGTTGCTCGGGGTGGAAGTAGCATTTTACTCTTTTAAAACTAGAACGAAATTCGATGTTGATATAGCCTAGCCAGAAATAGAGAGACAGACAAGTGGGGGCGTGAAAGAGAATCGACCCCTCTTTCCCCATCCTCCCCTAATCAGTAACCTTTTTAATTCCAATTTTATTAATCGCTCTCTACGATCTAGAATCACTCGCACTGCGCAAGTGGATGTAAATTAGATTCTACGGACAAAACATTGGACTGGAATTACTGCTTGGTAGCGACAAAGACTACACCGAGTAGACTGATGATCAATGCTGAATTGACGGTAACCCATGGTGCTCCTGCAGGGAAGACAAACAAGGGGAGAAATAAAGAGAGGGAATGAGAAGGAGAGGGAGAGGGGTTGGAGAGAGAGGGGCGTATCATACAAAAAGCGAGCGACGGGTGAGAGAAAGAGGGCGGGGTAGGAGGTGAGACATTCATAGATTATATGACATTTTACTCCTGTAAGTGCTTATTTTTGTCTATTTTGTTCAGAGCCTATTTACGTGAATGGGGCTATTTTGACAATCCGTTGTGTGTCTATTTAAAGTTCCATTTACAGGGGATTCCTTAATGATTAAAAAAAAAAAAAAAAACTACAACAACAGCGGCAACATGAGCAACGATAATGCTAAGAATAATGATAATGAGAATAACAATAATAATAATAATCGATTGTTATTATTATCATTATAATCATCATTATTATTATTATTATTATTATCATTGTTATTATTATTATTATTATTATTACTATTAATGTATTATTATTATTTCAGTAGTGGCAAAACTTAAGCTAATCTCGAGTTCTGGTATGGGAATCATATTATGAGAGAAAATAGCTATGATTTATTCTGGGTCGTTTATCCTGCAGTAGATTGGTTGTTTGAACCAGTTAAACAAAAACAAATGCACAAAAACTTACTGGGCATCGTATTCGATAAAAACCACAACTCCCATCTGCACATAGTGACCTGCGTTATGCGGTGGTCACATCCCGCCGTACTTGCAAGTGCGTGCTGTCTACGTGCAAAAACGTGGGCAAAATTTGGGTATCCGTACGTGATGAGTATCGCCTCCGTACGGATTTGGGAGCACGCAGACACACCCATATTGCTCCGATTGTCTCATTTTCGCTCGCTGGATCACTGCAGCACAAACATAGCTCGTTCGACGTCACTACCAAACTAGCCAATCAGCTGTCGATGACGTCATATTGAATGCGGCGACAAATGTATTTTGTAAAATTATCGAGAAATGGACTATTTCTAATTGCAAACTAGTTTTATTTTTGGATGGAAACGCAGCCATTGTTATCTTGAAATTCATTGAAGTCATCAGAATAGGGTAAGTTACGTCTCAGATGATTCAAGAGTTCTATTTTGTAGATAAATTTTCAATTTCTTAGAATGTTCCACTGTGTTGCAGGGTACCGGGTGTACGCCATTGGGTGTGATGTGTTCGCGCGCGATAGCGCGAATTATACATTCTTCTTCTTCTTCTTCTTCGCTATAAGTACAGGCCACCGCGCCGTCGGGTATGAACATTCCTTTTTCTCCTCAATACAATAACTTTCACCTGCCTAAGTTATTCAAACCATACGGAATCGTGGCGTCTCGCCACTTCCATTACGTAATCATTAAAAGGATCCGCATATACAACATTTTCCTGCTATACGTTGTGCCGCAGGAAAATACAAATCTCCCTGGTATACCTTACAGTCCAAACGATAAATATGTGCCTTAAACGAAGCAGGCGACAATCGGCGTAGCAGACACTTGATAGTAATTTTGTATGTGAGATTGCTTTGCTAAATATAAATTACTTTGTTAATAAATTTCAACTAAAATTTCTTTTACATATCTTTAAACCATCATTAATATTTAATAATTCATGAGTGAGTAAAAGAAACATACCAAACTATATAATGATATGAAATACTTGGTGGCAATTAGGGGAGTTTGACGTGGTGACCGATTGCACCCCTCTGTTAATAACCGAATAGTCCATGGTGTGTCATGAATATTCATGTTTTTATGGATGTGATTTTCGTTTAAACAAAAAAAGAATTTTTAACGATTTTCTTAAAAAACGTCCATAGGCTAACATGTTAGGCTGCTGACTCTGACGATAGGGGCGTTGTGAAATGAGACTAAACGGAGCAATATGGTAGCACTATTAGTGCACGAGGAACTTTCGCTGCGTTCGGGCTGCGTTCGGGCTACCGATTCACCCCAGTGCGTGTGACGTGCGTGCCCGGTAGCGAATTTTTTTTCCGTACTCGAGAGAGCAAAAATCCCATGTGCGCATGCGCGTGGACTTATGATTTCTCTGCTACTTCCCATACGAAATGTACATGTATTCGCATGTACTGTGCACGATTCGCGTTCTACGAGTAAACGATGGCATAGTAGTCTTCAAACACAGACTCTGATTTGCCAGTTTGACAAATCAATATGCGTATGTGTCGCGATGTGCTTATTCAAGTCTGTGTAGTTGTATGATTCAGACCCAGTAGTGCATATGGAAATACATTGCAACTTGTATAGAATGGTATAGTAGTCTGCAAGCACAGACGCTAATCTGACAGTTTGACAACATACTAGTAGTGTGCTGAGAAGTACTTTATTCAAGTCGCCAACTTGTATAGAATGGTATAGTAGTCTGCAAGCACAGACGCTAATCTGACAGTTTGACAACATACTAGTAGTGTGCTGAGAAGTACTTTATTCAAGTCTGCGTAGATGTATGATTCAGACCCTACTGGTGCGTGCGTTTCCAATACACGCACCAGGTGCATTTCCAATACACGCACCAGTAGGGTCTGAATCATAAAACTACTCAGACTTGAATAACACTATTTTGTCAAACTGTCAGATTAGCGTCTGTGCTTGCAGACTACTATGCCACTCTGCAAGTTGAGATGCCTTTCCAATACACGCACCAGTAGGGTCTGAATCATAAAACTACACATATTTGAATATAAAGCACTACTCAAGACACTATGTTGTCAAACTGTCCGATTAGCGTCTGTGCTTGCAGACTACTATACCATGCTATTCAATTTGGGATGCATTTCTGTAAGCACTAAAATGTCTGAATCATACAACTACTCAGACTTGAATACTAGTACTATTGCTACGCACGATATATGCGTAATTGTTTTGTCAAACTGGCAAATCAGAGTCTGTGTTTGAAGACTACTATGCCATCGTTTACTCGTAGAACGCGAATCGTGCACAGTACATGCGAATACATGTACATTTCGTATGGGAAGTAGCAGAGAAATCACAAGTCCACGCGCATGCGCACATGGGGTATTTGCCCTCTCGAGTACGGAAAAAAAGTACTCGAGAGAGCAAAAATCCCATGTGCGCATGCGCGTGGACTTATGATTTCTCTGCTACTTCCCATACGAAATGTACATGTATTCGCATGTACTGTGCACGATTCGCGTTCTACGAGTAAACGATGGCATAGTAGTCTTCAAACACAGACTCTGATTTGCCAGTTTGACAAATCAATATGCGTATGTGTCGCGATGTGCTTATTCAAGTCTGTGTAGTTGTATGATTCAGACCCAGTAGTGCATATGGAAATACATTGCAACTTGTATAGAATGGTATAGTAGTCTGCAAGCACAGACGCTAATCTGACAGTTTGACAACATACTAGTAGTGTGCTGAGAAGTACTTTATTCAAGTCGCCAACTTGTATAGAATGGTATAGTAGTCTGCAAGCACAGACGCTAATCTGACAGTTTGACAACATACTAGTAGTGTGCTGAGAAGTACTTTATTCAAGTCTGCGTAGATGTATGATTCAGACCCTACTGGTGCGTGCGTTTCCAATACACGCACCAGGTGCATTTCCAATACACGCACCAGTAGGGTCTGAATCATAAAACTACTCAGACTTGAATAACACTATTTTGTCAAACTGTCAGATTAGCGTCTGTGCTTGCAGACTACTATGCCACTCTGCAAGTTGAGATGCCTTTCCAATACACGCACCAGTAGGGTCTGAATCATAAAACTACACATATTTGAATATAAAGCACTACTCAAGACACTATGTTGTCAAACTGTCCGATTAGCGTCTGTGCTTGCAGACTACTATACCATGCTATTCAATTTGGGATGCATTTCTGTAAGCACTAAAATGTCTGAATCATACAACTACTCAGACTTGAATACTAGTACTATTGCTACGCACGATATATGCGTAATTGTTTTGTCAAACTGGCAAATCAGAGTCTGTGTTTGAAGACTACTATGCCATCGTTTACTCGTAGAACGCGAATCGTGCACAGTACATGCGAATACATGTACATTTCGTATGGGAAGTAGCAGAGAAATCACAAGTCCACGCGCATGCGCACATGGGGTATTTGCCCTCTCGAGTACGGAAAAAAAATTCGCTGCCCGGTATTGCCAACGAGCGCACGACACACTGACTCCGTGCGTCTTTTAAAGGCGCACGTGATAAGTGCGTGGTCCGTGCTTACTCGCCACTTCCCAAGTTCAGCTATCCGATGAGCACGCAGAACTCACGTGGACCGTACCGAGTAAGCACTTACAACGCACGTTGTTAGCAACTTAGCACTGATTTATGCAGTATATAGTCTCTTCGGTGGAATGGGCGGCATCTTGAGGCAGCAACAGCTGGGACTTCTGGAGAACATCGGAATGTCGTCCTATATAAACACCGAGTTCATCGCACGTGCACGTACTTACAACATACGAGTGTGTAAGGACACCGTACGTGAGCAGCACTTGTAAGTACGGCCTCCGTACGATAACGTGGCAACCGCACGGAGACCGTACGTTGTAAGCACGTTGTAAGCACGTACAACGCACTTACCACGTGCGCAACGTACGATGCACGCAACCGTTCACGGCCAGGCGTGGCGTGCGGGCCACGTACTTACACAGTGCGTGTGACGCGCGTTGCCGGTACTCCCTCCCTGCCTTTGCCACTCCCTCCCTACGTTTTCAGAAAAACGTGGCGGCCGTGGCCTCCCCAAAAATCGTACGGACGTAAAACACGCACGTTGGGATGTGACTAACGCTTTAAGCAGGTGCCCGGATTTCCTTTTCTTTTTAAGCTCATTACTCAGCCACTATAAATTTTCTACCAAATTATTGTTTGGAACGTGTTCTTGAACATTCAGTGTAAGTTTTTTGGGGGGATTTTATGAGAATATATTTTCTATATTTACCAGAACTTTAATTTATCTTTATAAGTATACAAATATCGGACTATACAAGCTATCGTATTTACCCGCTGTGGCCGAGATCTCTTGAGAAGTAAGTTTCACCCAAAACACCTCGTACTCTTGAAGAACAGTCGCACTGGAGGAAAAGACATAACATGCAAAAACCAGGTCAACATTGAGTTAAGATCGACTAAAATAAAATATAGAAATGGGATCGCGATCCGTACCAAACGAGATGACAATCCATTGTCGTTGTTTACGAAGAGATAAGTTTTGTCCCTATATTTACCTTTCCATCTGTCTGAGTTAACTCGATTTCTTTGATCTTGTTTTTGTTTTGGACTTTTGGGGTGATATAGATGAAAGTGAGTTCGCCGATCCTATATTTATTTCATATTATGTAACATCACAAAGTGATTTCGTCCAAATATATATAAAAATAAGTGGAGAAGATGTGCCCACTCTCCTTGTTTCCTAGAGAAAACAAAGGGAAAAGGGATCATTCTGTACATGATCTTTAAAAAATAACTGGTTGTGCTTGTTACATATCTTGACTTAATACTTTCGCCACTCGAATAAAAGTGATGATAATTTTTTTACAGACGCTTTTCACATATGCCTGCCCCTAATGAAAATACTTCTTGATTCCCATCGCTGCTGAATACAACACTATAAAGCACCCCTCCCTCCTTTCCCTCTCCTCCCCCAGACTTTTCGTTTCATGATTCCCGATAAGAATGCGTCATAAACAAAACAAAATAACTTTACAGACAGAACGCAACCTTTGAAGATCAATACCCAATATTGTAAACAAAAGAACTGAATAAATAAATAAATGGATAAATCAATCAATCAATCGATCAATCAATCAATACAAAATCTAAGAATTAAAGAAATATTCAAATGGATGAATGATCGATTGATCTAATTACTATATGAGTAAATGATTATAGAAATAAATAAATATATGAATAATTATATGACTAAGTAAATAAATGGATAAATGGACAGATAGATATATCAATCAACCAATCGATCAATAAATAAATATGTCGAAACTTTTGTTCTTTTTCTGAATTAGTGAATTTGTAAATAAATAAATTAATAAATGATCGAATGAATGAATGAATGAATAAATAAATAAATAAATATACTCACGTAAAAGTGACGTTCCCGACATCACCAGGAGCGGTCCATGTAAAGGATGTTCCCGCACTTTTCGGGTCGGAGTTTGCATGGGTTACGCTGTCTCTAGAATTAGTGCTGGGCTGATTAGTGCAATCTATAAGTTTGGTGTTAGTCGGCTCGTTGCTGAACGAACCGGCCAGGGTGTCGTCCGCCAACCGAGCCTGCAGGAGAATACCTCTGAATGATGCGCCGTTGACGGACACTTAATGAGAAACAGAGTCCGGTCAATAATTATATAGCCAAATTGAACAGATATGTGAGCGTATTATCATATAATATTATTGTTTACCCATCAGGAGAAGCCTCATCAGCATCAAAGCTGTTGTTCCAGAGGGCACGGCAATTATTTTTACCCCCATCATTTAGCAGGTACCCATTAACACCTGCATGGAGAGTGTCAAAAATTCTTGCCAAAGGAATTTAGACCCGTTGTGGGATTCGAACCCTTCGGCCCAAATTCATAAAGGAGGTTTTGTTGACAAACTTAGGTTTATGTGCGTCAATGACGAGTTTCGACACGTTTCAAACCAAGGTTTGTACAAACTTAGGTGTGAAACGCGTCAAAACGCGTCATATGACGCACAATAACCTAGGTTTGTCGACAAACCTCCTTTGTGAATTCGGGCATTAAAATCCTTGGATTGAGAGTCAAGTGAACGAACTACTATACCACGACATCTCCACGACATCTCGTTTAGCCCACCGCACACTACACGACCCGACTGCGATTCGATCTCGGAAGAATTTGCAAAACAGCATTTATGTTGATATGAACATTTAAACATGTAAAATCTTAATGACCGAGGGTCTGAATAGTCATATGATTAAGAAAATCTAAATTTCAAGGGATTCCATGCTTCCTTGGAAGAGGGAAACCTAAATAATACGTCAAACCAACTTTAGCAACTGTCCTCGATTTTAAGCCGAATAGGCTTTTATTCTGGCTAAAAGAGTTCAAAGCATTTAAATTCTTGTTGTTAGTATTCTTATAATTCTTCGATTTTTTGTCTCCATAAAAACTCTCGACAGGTGGACAAAAACGTCTGCATTTCGTTCTCATCTCCGACAAGACAACAACAACAAAAAGCCAACATTCTGAGGGAGGGGGGGGGGGGTTGGGTAGCCTACAGTGCCAGAACTGCGCCACTTGAGCAATGTCCATATACTTTATTTTTTGTATCGCCCAACCACTTAGTTCACTATATTTAACATTTGAAAAGTTTCTAACTTTTTAGGGTAAAATGGAAAGTCATTTGTTAGATCCCGTTGTTACGGTGATTGGTAGCTGTCTCATAGAGGCACATTTTTGGCCGCATGTGCCTCTGGAGCTGAATATCGAATTTCTTCTGTTTTTGTAATCGATGATGCTATAACATTTGCACCATTGCATATAAATGTACTTGGCATTGTTTTACAATAATATAAAGGAACACTGTGCTATTTTCTTTTTTACTAAATATTCGATATTTCATCGAAATTTCTCATTCGCTTTACCTGTGAGCGCCTCTTTAGGAGTGTACATGTTCTTGCTGACGCTGAGGGCGTAGGGACTTGGCCCAGTTTGAGGCGGGATGATCATACTTGCGTTATTCTGATGGCCTGGGGTTAGGTTCACACAAGCACCGCGTGGGGCGCCCGACGAATAGGCCATGACGAGAGGAACGGCGGCCAGGAATGCGAGAGACCAAAAGTATGACATCTTGGACTTGATACGTTACCGAAAAAGAACAAAAAACAATAGATTTATGCAATGTTGTGAAGACATTTTCCCCAAAATTATATTTCTAAATGAAAGGTTGATACAATTCCAACAGAAAAGGTGCAAAATGTAAGAAAAGCCTGAAAGTCTACAAAATAGTCACGTTAAGTATCAAAAGGGAAGGGGTGTTTGGGATTTAATGTATCCTAAGAAGCTATGTGGATCCCTTTTTTTTCTTCTTTATGCTTCATGACTTGTATGGATCTTTTTGTAATCACTATTGAAAAAGTAGAATTTAAAAACGGATCTTCAATTTGCAAGTGCTGAGCTTGCAACAATTTTATACGTCTTCAGTTTTCCCATCAAATGAGGAAATGATAAACATTATAAAGACGAATGAAAACATGAATAAAATCTTGGAAATCAAGGAAGTACCGACACACTACAGGTGGTGGCTATATAGAATTTGTCCAAAAGAAAGGCAAGGTCACTTTGTATTTCCTTATTATTGTCGCCCTTTCCACCAGGCGCGGATCCAGGACTTCTTAGGGGAGGGGGCCCAACTTTTTTTTTTTTTAGCTCCCGAAAATTTGAAAATCGCGCCGGCCGAAAAGTCGCTCAGTGGGGGGGGGGGGGGGGGGGGGGTGTGCACATTTCTTTGTTTGGTCCTCGGAAATTTTTAAATTTGCACCCCCCAAAAAAGGTAAAAATCACGTGATTTTACATGATTTTTTTTCAAGGGGGGGAGTCGGGCCCCCGGCCCCCCCCCCTCCCTGGATCCGCCACTGCTTTCCACTACTGTTAATCATTCACCACATGCTTTTTGCATAGTCATTGTGTCAACAAGACACCAAATACATATGTGGGGCACTATTACAAAGGAGGTACCAGCATTACTACATGACGTTGTTTCGTGACCACGCATATATTTCAAGGTCGAATTGACTTTGAATTACATTTTTCTGTTCATTTACAAGATGATAAGTAGTTCCCAAACATGAAAATAATCAATGAATAAAAAATACTCCAAAACAAATAATGATAACAATGATAATATAATAATATTACTACTAATAATAATGATAATAGTCATAATCATCATCATCATCATCATCATAATAGTAATGATGATAATAATAATCATCATCATTCTGAAGATACACTGTCGCTCATAAAGTTGGAATACTTTTGTTTTCCCCCAATTTATGGAAGGATTTTAAAAATAATTTAAAAATAATAGATCTAGATAATAGTATACATTCTCAGATTTTATTGAATAATAATTTGCCAATGTGTGTTTTGCGTGAAAACAAAAATGTGCAATAAATTTTCAATAATTTATTGCATTTCTTTGTTCTTTTTTAATTTATGGAAACTGCCCCCTACCCTAGCCCCCGCTGCGTACAGTCATGGTTCAGTGACAAAGCAATGGCCTCGTAACTGTGAAGCCCCAGGATCAAAACCGTGTCGATGTGCTATATTAGTGCCCTTTTGTGGGGCATTAATCCTCATTACTGTCATGTATGACTTAAGGGCGTAGGTCCCCTAGTTGATAAGCATATTAGCATACACATGCTTTATAAGTCACGCAAAACACACATTGTAAAATTATCATCCAATAAAATCAGAGAATGTATACTATTATCTAGATCTATTATTTTTAAATTATTTTTAAAATAATTCCATAAATTGGGGTAAAAAAAAAATATTCTAACTTTATGAGCGACAGTGTATATAATAGTTGGTTATTTTATAGCGGATACTCTTGCATGGCGCTTCAGGAGTGATGATATTTATATGAATGCTAAAAAAACGGGATGTCAAAAAAAAATAGAACGAGTTTGGCAACATCTTAAACACCACTCAATCATCCTTAATGAAATTTCGCGTACACCCGTCTCTTTTGCATTTTACGGCAAACCTTTGCATTGACGTAATTGTAACTCCTAATTTCTTGGCGAAATGACCACTTAAAGGCCCACTGCAATACTTGTAGCTACTTGCGCCCTCTATGTAACAAACAATGCCTAATCGGTGACCATTGGTCCCCCATGATCCTCTTTTTCTTATGTTAACTGAGAGCTGAGTTGATGAGATAACCACCTGTCCAGTGACCTTGCAGGGCAGTCTAATCCCTCCTGTAAACTACGGCAGATAAGCTTTAAACATGTTAGATTCACATTTCATTCGTAAAATGTCGTTAATATGTATGTAAAATATACATAGATATATCAAAAGAAAGCATCCCAATAAAAATAATGACTTGTTTACTATCTTCAAATTCATTATTATCATCATCATCATCATTTCATCAACATCATCATCATCGAGTACGGGAAGTAGGTGTTGGTCGGTAAATTCACGGTCACTGTGGCCCGAATTCACAAAGGAGGTTTGAACCTCCATTTTTTTAAATGCACAGGAAGTTTATTTTTCTTTTTAGCCAAATAATATTCTATTTCCTTTTGTTTTTTAAAAAATGATTTGAATGCAATAATATTTGGTGTCTGATCCCTGAATTTGCAAATATAAATATAATATTTCATCAGTAAAATAAAATAGGTTACAAACTTGTCCGAAAATACACCAAAAAGTTTTTCAAAATTGGTAAAAGTAAAGTTGGTATCATAATTTTTTTGTAGTAATAAACTCAATAAAACTTCCGAAGTTGAGGAGACTTTGTCACATTCACAAAATAGATGACCCATAGTTTCTTCCTCTTTATCGCAAAAACACAATTGAGTGAATCCTTTCCTTTAATTTTACACAAAAATCCATTTAAAGCTATGGCTTTTAAAAAAATTAAAATAAAATGAACGTAACCTAGTATCTATTGTACAACTAAAAACTAACCTTGTGTACGTTTTCCCAAATAATGTGTGTGGGGACTGTTATTTTTGTCAGTTGGCATCGTCACTTGAGACAGATGCTTGTGCGCTTTACGGGAGGAGTCAGGGAAGGTCAAAATGCTTAAAGGTGAAATTCAAAGAAAATCACAAATATGTCAACTAATGTATCACTATAAAGATCCCATAAAGAATGAACATAATTGCAAAGCTATTATTTGTCAAATTATAATGAGTTTAGTGTATATAAATGTAATGGCATGTCAAACCATTCAAAAGGGGATATGACCCGATTCTGATAACTAAAATATTTTGCTTGTAAATACAAAGGATAGGGGTTAATTAACAAGCAAAGAAAATAGACTTTCAAATTGAAAACCCCCCGGAATGATATTAAGGACGGCATTTAATTTGTTCCCTCTTGAAACGCCGTACATACCGCGGTTTGTGCAGCTGAATATGGCGTCTTATTTTGTTTACAAGCGACAGATTCCTTTATTTTTGTATCGCTGCATTTGTCATCAAAATAAAAACATGCGCGGGGTTTAGAGTGAGGCAATAGATTATACATTTAGCCTGACGGTAGTGAAGTAAGAGAAAGAACTCAAGAGAAGGTGAAAACACAGGCACTGAAAATGTGTGAGATGTTGTGGAGCCCCACAGAATACCCCCCCCCCCCTATTTTTTTGTATATCTTTGACTATGTATGTATGACACAAGTATATTTCTAGCCCCCATATTGTCCCTCCTCTTAGTTAATTAGGTACCCCCCTCCTGCGAGAGTGGCCTCACCCACAACTAACCTAAACACACCAGCTGGGATACCAGGAGTGGCTTCTCACTTTGTTTTTGCCACGCATCTCAGTCAACACCTTTCTTATTTTGTCTTCCTTTAATAGGTAAGAAAGAATCTTATATTATTCAATTGTGTTATATTCTTGTTGTTCATAATATGTGTATTTCTAAACTATTAGCTTCACTATTCACATATCTTGTATTACTGTGTAAAAAGAGATATTAATGATCTTTGCCAATGACTTGTTGGATTATATGACATGTGAACTATGAGAGGAAATATAAGAAATGCCATGTGGGCAGAGATGCCATGTGGGGAGAGATAATGTCATTGATGAACATAGTAATCACTTGTAGAAATGATAGGAAAGTATTATCGTGTGTGTGAGATTGATGATTATGTTGTTTGATTTAGACAACATTTTAAGTAAGTTTTGAGAAGAGAATATACTTTATTACTGTCAGTATATTTGTCTTTTGCTCGATATTCATGTGTATATATATATTCTTAGCCAAGGACATGTGCCATTTACTATGCATTATGCCAAAGCACATTGTTATATATTCTAGTTCGAATTAGATACAGTTTGAATAGCGAAATGAGTTGTTCAAGTCCAGATTATCTTTAACTTACAGTATTATGGTATGAGTGAGTGTGGACGCACCATGCGTATAATATTAGTGTGTTATTAGGTTATGGCAGTGCGTGCAATGTGAACACAACTTCTTATCAGAGTTCTTAATCCCCTCTCCCCCAAGCTTGACCATCCACTGCAATACATTACACGCACACAGTGTAGATAGAGTATATGCTATACCCAAATGCTATGTTGAGAAGTGTTAGAGATAGAATGTGTTTGTTTTTGACCCATGCTGGAAATGGTATCTTAGGCGGGAATGAAAGTTTGGTAGAGTCAGCAAAATGAGAAGACAAAGGATTTGAGTTGGGAAATACACTTGTTGAGAAACACATGGTCAAATTGTCTAATAGTTAGCTAGTGATGGATGGGTTGATGAAATATTGTAGTTGAAGACTTGCATAATCACTGTCTGGAATTCATTGTATTATATTGTTAGGAATGATAATTCAGGTTAAATGTTATTGGGAATTACTCTCTCTCTCTCTCTCTCTCTCTCTCTATATATATATATATATCTCTCCCTCTCTCTCTCCCCCCCCCCCTCTCTCTTTATATTCTCTCCCTCTCTTTCTCTCTTTCTCTCTCTCTCTCTCTCTCTCTCTGTATGGTTCACCCTTTCTCTTTCACTCTCACTTTGCTTTGTATATAACCATGAAATGAATATACATGTATTTAGTAAAACTATTGGTTGTTGTTTAGAATTAGAATATGAACTGTATGTGAA